GATGGAGCGAGACTTCTCTCAAAACAAAAAAAACAAAAACAAAAATTTAATTAAAAATAAAAGCAGGTCAGGGGTGTGCTCACACCTGTAATCCCAGCACTTTGGGAGGTGGAGGCGGGTGGATCACGAGGTCAAGAGTTCGAGACCAGACTGGCCAATATGGTGAAACCCTGTCTCTACTAAAAATAAAAAACAATTAGCCAGGCGTGGTGGCGGGCCCCTGTAGTCCCACCTACTTGGGAGGCTGAGGCAGGAGAATCGCTTGAACCGGAGGCGGAGGTTGAAGTGAGCTGAGATTGCACCATTGCACTCCAGCCTGGATGACAGAGCGAGACTCCTTCTCAATAAACACATAAATAAAGCAAATCTTTCTTTTTGCTAAGGCTCCATTTCCACCACCATGAAATGGAGGCTCTCTCTGCAGCGACCTTCATCTGCAGGAGCCTGCTCACACGAGAGAACGGCTGCCGCCAGTGATTCTCTCCCCGCCGTGCACTGGGCTCTGGTGCTGTGTGTCCTGGGCTCTGGGGCTCCGGGCTCCCCTGCTGCACGCTCTTAACCCTTAGCGTGAGCAGATGGTAGAACTGCCCGTGCCAAGAGGGTCCACACCAACTTCTGGAATAAACAAGGCCAAAGGGAAAAAGTAGGTTTGCCGGGGACAATCTCACACCAGGAAGCCCCATAATTCAACAGCGGCGCCCAGGATTTCAGCATCAGTTCTGTGCTCATCAGGTAGGCAATGGCTGGAGGAAGGCAATGGTTGGAGGAAGGCAATGGCTGGAGGAAGGCAATGGCTGGAGGAAGGCAATGGCTGGAGGAAGGCAATGGCTGGAGGAAGGCAATGGCTGGAGGAAGGCAATGGCTGGAGGAAGGCAATGGTTGGAGGAAGGGAATGGCTGGAGGGAGATGTGAAGCCTGGGCTGAGCACAGGCACGGCCACACTGTGTAGCACCCTGGCCTGCTCCGCAGATGAGTCAGCAGCGTCGATTAAGCACCCACTGTGTGCAATGCCCTGAACTCTGTGCTGAGATGATAGCTCTGTTTGCTTTCCAGCCAATCAGCAAATATGTATTGAGCATCTGTCTATTTGGGGCAAGTCAGAGTACAGAGGGCACGGCTCAGAAAGGAAGAGCTCAGACGGAGTTTGTGACTGATTACAGGAACAGGTGCCAAGTGAGAGATACGACGGGTGGAAGAGCAGGAGAGCCTCCATCCGGGGTGTGGAGGAGGTTCTGTGGATCTCAGGGCCATCTCAGCTGGCTCCAGACAGACAAGAAGCCTCCTTCAGGGTGTTCTTCTGGTAATCACTGAAGCTCTGCCTAATAGAGGAGACTGGTAACAGGTTTCCAAATGAGTATTAATGTAACTCACAACAATTTGCATGGCCCAGTAAAAATGAACATATGGGGCCCCTCCTTCAAACTGATAAAAGTAAGCCTCAGGAATGAAGTCTAAAACAGGGAAAAAAAAAAAAAAAAGATTCAGAATTTCAAGATGGCAAAAGCAAAGCATTAGACCAAATGCAGGACGCTTCTCAGCACAGGGCCCTCCGAAGCAGGCCCTGGGAAGCCAGCCCAGCCTGCCTGGAGGAGCAGGAGATAAGAATTTGGGATTTCTGGTTATCAAGAGGATCGCAGGCCTTGGGAAAGCCAGTGACCACTTCATTGTTTCCATCCTGGATCAAAGGTCGGCCTCCAGGTGAGATGGCCCAGCCAGATCTGGCTCGGTCCTTAGCCCTTCCCTCTGGTGTCTCATGTGATGGTGTCAACAAGGCCAGAGGCTGCTGGCTCTTCTCTCAAAAGCCAGGGCCAGGGAGCAGCACAAAATGTAAATGCCAAAGCCTTCACTGGTGGAACGGGTGCGAACTGCTTCTCCCTGGGCAGCACACACCCACTCAAAGGCCTTCACTGGTGGAAGGGGTGGGAACTGCTTCTCCCTGGGCAGCACACACCCGCTCAAAGGCATCCAACCTCAAAGTGCACAAGCTCCCATCCGCCGACAGGGCATGCGTTTCAGCCCTGTGTCCGACCTTCCCGTCTTATAAGTCAGGACACAGAACCATCGGGGCAAGGATCTCTCCAAGGCAAGAGAACTGGGCAGTGCTGAAACTGGACAAAGGCTTCTGTGGCTCCCACCAGCGTCCTCTCCCCAGCAGCCAGGTGCCCTCCCGTGCCCTCTGACTGGATGGTAGGGACCCAGGTGTGCCGACGCCTCTGCAGTGGCCTTCGCCTTCGTGGCCCTGCTCACGTGAGAATCACTGCCGCCCACGGGGGACGCCACTCACGGGGCTCTGGTGTCGTGGACGGAGCTGAAGTTTGGGTGGAAGAGCTCACTGTCCCCGCTGCAGGCCTTTAACCCTTAGTGTGAGGAGACGGTAGAAGCCCTGCCCGTGCCAAGAGGGGTTCATACCAACATCTGGGATGAACAAGGCCAACGGGAACGAGTAGGTTCCCCAAGCGCAGTTTCTCTTCCTGCTACTGAACACCTGTGGGAGGAGGAGACTCAGCCCTTCCTGAGGAGCGTCTCTGCCGAGGTTCAACAGTAATGGACTAGAGTCCGGACCTGGGTCAACAAAAAGACTAGGGGAGCAGGAGGCAAGAGCCAGCTTACCAGGACGGGCTGCAAACGGGGAGGTCTGGATCCAGGGTGAGGCTGCCCCTCCAGAGGAAGCAGGCCCAGGAGCCCCTGGGAACGCAGACAGGCTGAACCCACAGCACAGTCCCCATGGCGGGAGCAACTCCCAGTCGAGCGGCGGCAGAAAGAGCCCCCAGGTGTCCACGGTTTGTTGTGTGGGACAGAATGTCTGCACTTGCCTCTCACAGAATCTGCACAGCTGCCTAACGACAGAAGCTGAGGCTGCATTGTAAGGATATGCAAAGGGAGCCCCAGAGGAATGAAGTCCCTTTTAGGGCTCTTAGGCTCTCTGACCAGAGAAGTTCTAGAGCTGGGACGGGAGCTGGGCTTTCCTAGTCTTGGTCTGATGCTGGTGGTCTGGCCTCTGACCACTGTCCATCTCACCCTGCCCAGCGCTGGGACATTCTTCCCTGTCCCGGGGCCTCTGTGCGGGTGGGGGGCGGGGCTGGCCAGGGATCCCACACATCACAGGCAGGTCACCAGGATTTGTAGAGCGGATTGAACGCCCCATCCCCCGTGTTTGAAATGCCCTCTGGGCCCCTCCTGCCATCCACCCAGGAAGCTCTTCCTTCCACTAAGCTGGTTATTTCCACCACAGGGCCTTGAGGACACCTCCCACCTGTCACTATCTGTCCTCTCACTGGACGGTGAACTCCATCAGGGTAGGAGCCGTAGCGTGAGGCTGGCACTTACTGACAACTAGCAGTTGTTTTATCCATGAAGGGAGGGGATGACCTAGCAGGCTACACTTTAGACATGAAACGACAGCCACCACAGTCCCCAGACCTGTGTGTCATCCTTCCACTATGTACACTTAGATAGGTTTCCCCTTAAAAAAAATCCCCAGGATGTGAAAAGCCAAATCAATTTACAAGACGGCAAAATGGTGGAAGGAAGGGAAGGAAGGGAAGGGAGGGAAGGAAAGGAGGAGGAGCTGTGTTGCAAATGGACTCCCCGCAGTCTCCTTCAAATAGTTCCCTTTGTGAATATCTTTCTAATCTTAGAATGAGGAAAACCTTTATAAGCATGACATCAAATCCGGAAGCCATAAAGGATCCATACATTTGACTGCATAAAATTAAAATTAGTTGAATGCAAAATAATAATAGCGTATCCCCTTATAGCACTTATTTCATGTCAAACCCTGCACAGAACACTTTACATATCTGAAGTCATGTCATTCTCGTGACAATCCCATAGAATAAGTACTGTCCTTATCTGAGGGACTCAGGTTAAGTAACTGAACTATGGTCATTCAGCTAGTACGTCATGGACAAAACCAGGGTGACCAAGTAGCCTGCCTTCAGAGCGTGTGCTCCAGCCACTCCCTCGACCGCCACACACCACACAAAATCAGGAGACAAAGACAAACAGGGGAAACACTGCTGCACAGAGCACAAAGGACTGATTTTCCTGAAGTCTGTGGAGGCCTTAAAAGTGAGCCAACAGAAAAAGAGAGTACAAACAAGCAAGCCCCTGAAGAAACATCACAAATGTGTATAAGACATATGCGTAGCCTACGCGATTGGTGAAGATTCAAGAGACTGATAACACTCAGTGTTGGTGAAGACGTGGCTAAAAAGCACTTTCACAGACTTGGTAGAAATGCAAATTACTACCAAATGTACCAAAATTGTTACAATCATTTTTTTGGAGGACAATTTGACAATTATCTCTTAAAATTTAAAATAGTCTTACCTAGTAAGTCCACTTCTAGGAGCCTCCCCCAGAATAAGTCTCCCACAGAAAATGCTCTCCAAAGCTCAAAAAGACAAGCTATTCAACGCATCATTATCGACAATGTCAAAACCTGGGAATGAGCCAAACTGTAATCGATGGCGTGTGGGCTAAATAAACTGGCCTACACCCACACAATTAAATACTACGTACGTCTTTGAAAAGAGACAGGTGTTCTTGTTCGATCAGTAAAAAACAATGAACAAAATGAAACAACAAAAAAGAATGAGGTAGATCCCCCTGTACAGATACAGAAAATATCTAAAATGTATTTCGTGGGGAGTGAGTCGGTAAGAACATGATATGATTCTATATTGGTAAAAACGAAACAAAATATTCAGAGGATCTGCTTTATATTTCTATGCATTAGCATAAGCATAGGAAACAAACGTGGGAGGAATTTATATCACACTAAGGACTTTCCCTTTCTTTCTAGGTTATATGTTTTCCCAATTGTAGGTCTTTTTCTCATGGGAGTTTGGTTTCAGTAAAAATCAGGAAACCTGCTAGACAAATCCTAAAAGAGCTGTAATCCTTCCAACTCTAATTTTGCACAACTAAGACATCATCCTTTTATAATCAGGAAAAATATAATAATGATGAAATTAAATATACGAGAAATAGCAAAAAACTACCCCTCCCTGTTTACTTCTTTGTTCTACAAGCATGTGCTGGGTATGCGCCTGAGTCCTAGGCACTGATGTCTCAGGCTGGGCACGCGGAGACGAATCCATATGGCACCTGCTCTCAAGAAACTTCTGGAAGGGGGGAAACAGATGGTAAGTTTGGGGGAGGATTGTCTCTTGGGCTCAGTTTTCCTCCGTGGGATGAGGTGGATGGGCTGCTGTGGCGGCCGTCTCAGAGAGGGCGGGGGCTCACTGTCAGGACCCAAGGGGCCCTCGGGTACGGGTAGAAGGCAGAGGTGGAGTGGTGAGGGGCAGCGGATCAGGCTGGGGCTGGTGAGGGACTTAGGCTTTGCCCTGAGGGTGGCAGGGAGCAATAGGAAGGTTTTCCTCAGCTAGAGGCATCCTTAGAGCAGCACTTTATTTCTGATTTTTGTTATTTTTTGTAGAGACGGTGTCTTGCTATGTTGCACAGGCTGGTCTCGAACTCCTGGTCTCCAACAAGTGGCCTCAGCTTTGCAATGTGCTGCAGCAGCATTTTAGCAGGAACATGATGGAAGCAGCTCCAAGGAGGGGCTGGAGCGGAGAGCCATGCGCGGGGAGCCCTGCTGGGGGTCTGCAGCACAGCCTGGGCAGTGGGTATAAAAATGGGACTGCCCCAAGACAGGGTGAGGAAATAGAACTGGCAGGGCTGGGTGAGTGATTCGACGCTGAGGGTGTGGGAAAGGGAGGGGTGGAGGACGACACCCTGGGCTTCTGGCCGGTGGCAACATTGTGCCTTCACAGTCTGAAAACGTACCCTCAGCGTTGCAGCCCTAGTAGGACTCAGTTGATGAACAACTTTCCAGGAATGTGGCTCTTGTGTAAAAGGGGCACCTCGGTAATCTGCACAGACACAGTTGCCTGGTGTGGATTACAGCAGGCTGCCCAGCCACTGCCCAGGGCACTCGGAAGCCTGTCAAGGGCATAGTCCTTTGAGGCTGATGCTTACTGCTGATCGGAGCCCAGGACACCACCACTTACTGTCAAGGTTATAGGGACGTAGCAGAGAAAAGAAGTTCAGTGAGAGCGGTGCCTCTTTTCAAAACGGTGTGACAGTCCCTAGGTTCTCCGGCTCCTGTTTCTGGATTCAGTGTTGTTAGGGCCTCTCACCTTCACGTGGTTTGTGTGAACCAACCGTCAGGGCGGTTTAGGTACTACAGCGTGTTGGGTCCTCAGCAGGGTTCAAGCAGCCGGTGCCAGGCCTAGATCTTACAACTCCTGGCAGTATCTCCCCTCACCTTCTGCTTGCTGACAGCACTTAGCTGGGCAGAAATAGCCCTGCCACTCATGCCCACATCAACAACCTGGGGCTGTGCGCTCTCCTGATGCAAGGTCCTTTCTCCTAGTCATGACTACCACCACCTGCTGCCGAGGCCTGAGTGCTGACTCGCCTGCTATGTTGGTCCGAGGGTTGGGGGCAATTCTGAGAGCAGAAGCCCTCCGGATGGGCAGTGCTAGAGGAGTTCCATAGAGCTGGTCTTAAAACCAGAGGCCTTTTGACTGAGCTCTGGGTCCCTGGAGGGACAGTGTCTGCTGTGAACAGATGTCACGGAGGGAGCAGTGCAGTGTCACCAGTCTGGCTTCTCTCCCCAGGTCCCTTGGGCACGTCTTATCTTATCGTGCAGCTGGGCTGGGGGTGCTGCCAGGCTTTGTGGGAGTTGGCTGCGAGGGCCAAGGGTGTTTCTTCAGAGATATTTCCCAGGTTCTGGGCCTCGTTTGCACAGGAAAACCTTCTGAAAGAGCGAAGTGGCCAGTGGCAGGTATGGTATGTGACTTAACTAGTCAATTTTGAGCAAACAGAGGGCCCCCCGGCATTTTTTCCAGGTCACCCCCTTGCCCCTCCTGCTCTGCTCATCCTTCCAACTGTTCCTTTAGCCTGAAGGCCTGGAGCCCCAGCCACCAGGCTGTAGCCAAATGCATATCTTGTTTGCATTCTTGGTGAACTTTCCATTAATCGGTGACAGATGAAAAATGGGAACTTTGAAGTCGAATGGGGTCAAGTCTGGCTTTTCTACCTGCTAGCTAGGTGACCTCGGACAAGTTAAGTTGTCTGAGCCATTGTGTCCCCAAGTGCAAAATGGGGTAAAAGATAGTTCCTACCTCGCTGGGTCGCTGGGACAACCGTAGGAAACGTTATTTAAAATAGTTCGGTGTGTGCTAGATAACACGAGGGAGTTATCATTGCTGGAGGGGTCCAGAGTGGACCCGTCATGGTACATTCTTGTGAATATCCAACAAAAAGGTGTTGAACAAAAGAAGAAGGATATTGGACACAGATTATGAAGAAACAGAATAACTAGCTTCTCTGGCCGGGCACAGTGGCTCACTCCTGTAATCCCAGCACTTTGGGAAGTCGAGGCGGGGGGATCACGTGAGGTCAGGAGTTCAAGACCAGCCTGGCCAACATGGTGAAACCCTGTCTCTACCGAAAATACAAAATTAACTGGGTGAGGTGGCGCATGCCTGCAATCCCAGCTACTTGGGAGACTGAGGTAGGAGAATCGCTTGAACCCAGGAGGTGGAGGTTGCAGTGAGCCAAGATCATGCCATTGCACTCCAGCCTGGGCATCAAGAGCGAAACTCCATCTCAAAAAAGATAATAATAATATTCAACTATGGATTATTTGGTTAGTTGTAAGAACCAGAGCATACTAAGGAATGTAGTCCAAGCTCAAGCTCTGTTCAGGGATAAATACTGTCATTATAAAAAATAGTGAAAATAAGCAAACTGAAATTCGTCTCAGAAAAGTTATGAAAAGAACAATTAAACACACCTTAGGAAAATAGCAAAGAAGAACAAAATTAAGATAATTACAGAAATTTGTGAGTTACAAGGATATCAGTAGATTGAGTAAACAAAACTATGGAATGGATTTTTTTTTAAAGAAAAGTAAAATAAATCCTTTCCCTAAAAATGCAATCAAGAAAAAAAAAAAAAAAACAGGGAAAAAAATGGACAAAAGTAGAGTTGATACAGATGTTATAAATATAGTAGGAAAGAAGATATTTTTAATGGAAAAAAATCCAGAAATCTATGTTAAATATAGGAACCATTCTCAATGTATTAGGTTTACTGCCATACTGACTTGGTGTAATGACTATATTGTTTATTTGGTAAAATATTAAGGCACAATTACTAAGAACTCTTAGGGGCAGAAAAGAATAAGAAGGCAAGAATTTCCCTGCGATACGTCAACATTTACTACCCAGTCAACTTTGAAACAGATCTTAAAACCCAATGAGTGTTAAAGAAGCATCACAGGCAGGGCGCAGTGGCTCATGAAGCTTACAGCTTCATCACAGCTTCCCAGCACTGTGGGAAGCTGAGGTAGGAGGATCGCTTAAGCCCAGGAGTTTGAGACTAGCCTGGGCAATAGGGCAAAACCCTGTCTCAACAAAAAGTAAAATTGGCCAGGCGTGGTGGTGCACACCTGCAGTCCTAGCTACTCAAGAGGCTGAGGTGGGAGGAGCGCTTGAGCCCAGGAGGTTGAGGCTGCAGTGAACCGTGATTGTGCCACTGCCTCCAGCCTAGATGACAGAGTGAGACCCTGTCTCAAAAAGAAGGAGGAGCAGAAGGAGGAGGAGGAAGAGGACAAGGAGAAGGAGGAGGAGGAGGAAGTGGAAGCATAAGAGGAAGAAAAAAGAAGAAGGAGGAGGAGGAGGAGGAAGAAGAAGAAGAAAGAAGAAGAAGAAGGAGAAAGAAGAAAGAAGAAGAAGAAGAATCACAAACTTATCAGGGAAGGGGGCAAATTAGTTATCAAATAAATTTCAAATAGCTTAAATAAAAGTAAAAAAGAAACAATAGAGGGAAACTTCCTCAACTTCATAAAGAATGTCTACAAAAAAACCTATAGCTAACATCATACTTAATGGTGAGAAACTAAGAGCTTTAACACTAAGACGGGGAACAAGGCAAGATCTCCCCTCTCACCACTTCCTTTCAACATCATACGGGAACTCCTAGCTCATGCAATAAGATGAGGAAAAAATGTATACAGATTGGGAAGAAAGAAACAAAATTGTCTTTGTTCACAGATGACAAGATTGTCTATGTAGAAAATCTAAAATAATACAGAAAATCTAAAATAATAAAGAAAATCCCTGAAACTAATAAGCAATTATTACAAGGTTGCAGGATACAAGGTTAATATACAAAAGTCAATTGTTTTCCTATATATCATCAATGAATAAGTGGAATCTGAAATTAAAAACACAATGCCATTTACATTAGTGCTCAAAAAATCAACTACTCATGTACTCCATAAATAGGTACAGATATTATATATCAATAAAAATGAACTACTTACATATAAATCTAACAAAATATTTATAAGATCTATATGAGGAAAACTACAAAACTCTGATGAAAGAAATCAAAGAACTGGGCTGGGTGCTGCGGTTCACAACTATAATTCCAACACTTTGGGAGGCCAAGGTAGGTGGATCACTTGAGTCCAGGAGTTCATGACCGCCCTGGGCAACATAGCAAGATCCTGTCTCAATTTAAAAAAAATAAATAAAAACAAAAACAAAGAAGAAAAAGAAAGAAAGAAAACAACGGAATAAATAGAAAGATATTCCATGTTCATGAATAGAAAGACTCAATACTGTCAAGACATCACTTCTTCCTAACTTGATCTACAGATTCAGTGCAATCCCAATCAAAATCCCAGCACGTTATTTTGTAGATATCAACAAACCAATTCTAAAGTTTACACGGAGGCAAAAGATGCAGAATAGTCAACTCAATATTAAAGGAAAAACATAAAGTCAGAGGACTGACACTCCCCAACTTTAAGACTTACTTAATACAAAGCTACAGTAATCAACACAGTGTGATATTATCAAAAGGGTAGACAAGTAGATCAATGGAGCAGAATATAGAGCCCAGAAATAGACCCACATAGAGTCAACTGACCTTTGACAAAAGAGCAAAGATAACAAAATAGAGCAAAGATACTCTTTCCAACTAACTGTGCTGCAATAACTGGACATCCACACGCAAAAAGAAAAAAAAGAGAATCTGGACACAGACCTACGCTCTTCACAAAAGTTACCTCAAAATGAATCATAGACCTACATGTAAAACGCAAAGCTATAAAATTCCAAGACAGTAACAGGAGAAAATCTAGATGACATAACATAACATAGGATAGGATGACATAGGATTTCCATCCTAGGTTGTTACGTCATGACAATGACTTTTTATATACAACACTAAATGCACAATTCATGAAAGAAATAACTGATAAACTGGACTTTATTAAATCAAAAGCCTCTGCTCGGTAAAAGACAATGTCAAGAGAATCAGAAGATAAGCCACAGACTGGGAGAAAATATTTGCAAAAAATACTGGCCAGGCGTGGTGGCTCACACCTGTAATCCCAGCACTTTGGGAGGCCAAGGCAGGTGGATCACCCAAGGTCGGGAGTTCGAGAGCAGCCTTGGTCAACATGGAGAAACCCTGTCTCTACTAAAAATACAAAATTAGCCAGGCGAGGTGGTGCACACCTGTAATCCCAGCTACACGGGAGGCTGAGGCAGGAGAATCGCTTGAACCCGGGAGGCAGAGGTTGCGGTGAGCCGAGATTGTGCCACTGCACTCCAGCCTCGGGGACAAGAGCAA